TGTCTGGATTGCTCTTTCCTAACTCTTCTTTGAGTGGTTCTTTCTCATCTTCAAGGCCTCAGGTTATCTCTTCCAGAGATACCTTCTTTAACAAAAATAGACTTGCTCTATTCCTGTGTCCCACTCTTTAGAACATCATCCTTACCATTATCTGGAATTATTTTTTTGTTATTTGCTTACTTGTGCACGCACTGTCTACCCATATTAGAATACAAGTTCCATGAAAGCACAGAACTTAGTTTTATTCACAGCTCTATCCCCGGTACCTAGAGCAATGCGTGGCACATGTAATTCTGCTGAATAAAAATGTATTAACACTGAATAAAATACCTTTTAGAGGAGATCTAAGAGGAACTCCCTTCCTCCCTTCCTGTCTCTCTCTGTGTATATACATATATATATATTAATATATACATAAATAATAAAAGGGATCTCCAAGTGTCTCAATGTGAATATCCTTCTAGGCCCTTTATACTTAGTATGAACCAGTGACTTTATGGCTGAACTTCATCTTTTACTTCATGAAATCTTGGCCTGCAGATTTTTGAATGGTTGGTTTCAGTTGGAAAATATAGTGAACAATACATCTGGAAATATTCTGTCATGTTTTGATCTCAGAAACTCTGGAGAACCAGCTGCTGATTTGAAAGGCTTCTATTGTGATACAGACGGTCTATTGTCTACAAAAGCACTGGCTATTACACAGTGGTATATGTGTACTGATTTTTCTGAGCTATTAGCTTGAGAGAAAAACTTGCATTCATTAATTTATGCCTGACTTGTATTCCTTGAGAATAGTTTATTGTGTTACTCTCTTTCACTGATTTGCTGTGCATTTAAGGATTTTCTTACTCTTTTTTAAAAACTAAATAAAAAATTAGATGGTTAAGTAACAGGTTTGAGATACTTTCCACACTGTTTAAAAAAATTCATAAATTTCTGCATTAAAATGTGGTTTATAGTTATGATTTAATACTTCTGGGTAGCTTTATATTGATGAAATGGGTTAATTTCACCATTCACTGTTTTAAAGTTTACTTCTTTGTTTGTTTTTCTTTTTCTTTCTTAATTGTGATTTGGGTGAAAGTTTACAGAGCAAATTCACATTCCATACAGCAGCTCACATACACTTTGTCTCATGATATTGACTACAATTTACCACAATATAATAGCTCCCCTTGTACTTCCTTCCCATAGTTACCTCTTCCCTGTGTCCTTCCCTCCATGCAAATTTACTTCTTGTATATATAACATTTGATGTCATGAAAGAAAAATTTACATCCAAACCCTGCATGGGAATAATTTTGGAGAAAGTGAGTATGTGTACCATGCACACATGTGCATATACACATAATCTGGTTTGTATGACTTTCAATATTTTAAAATATTCTTTTTTGCTACTACTTTTGGAAGATTTGTATAAAGTGACAGATAATTACTAAAATTATTAGGTAGAAAATAATTACACCTAAGTAACCTAAAGCATTCCTTAGATGGCACAAGTGGTTAAGTACTTGACTACTACCCAAAAGTTTGGAGGTTTGAGCCTACCCAGAGACACCTTGGAAGACAGGTTGGTCTGGCAATCTGCTTCCAAAAGGACACAGTCTTGAAAACCCTAGGAGCAATTCTGCTCTGCACATGTGAGGTCACTGTGAGTCGGAATCAACGCAGGGACAACTCTCAACAACCTAGAGTAACATTTTAATTTTACTTTTTTTTTTTTTT